TCCTAGGACCCTGGGAACATGACCTGAGCTGAAGGCAGGTGCTTAACGGACTGAGCCACCCAGGCGTCCCCCCCCCCTTTTTTTTAAAGAATTTATTTATTTATTTTAGAGCATGCATGGGCCTGTGGGGGAGGGACAGAGAGGGGAAAGAATCTTTCCTAGACTCCCCACTGAGTGCAGAGCCAGGATCCCAGGACCATGAGAGCACAACCTAAGCTGAAACCATGAGTCTAACCTTTAACCAATTGAGCCACACAGGCACCTCTTGCCTGCCTTTTTCTACTTTGACCACATGAACCAGTGATAGATCTGTTTGTCTTACTCTAGATGGATAGGTAATCCTGTGGTATATTTTAAAAATCACCCATATGTATTACATTATACCCTGATGAGACCTCTCCCAGTTTAAAGGGATTTTGGTTTCAGTTCTTGAGCAATGGAAGAAATAATGTGGACTTCAGATAGTCTTTGACTTTTAATATGAAAGTATTTTCAGGTATCTTGGCTTTATTTTTGTGAGGTTATGCCCCTTTGCATGAATCTTCTAGATTTGCAAAGAATGGATGCTCAAAGAATTCTCCTTTATTGTTATCTTTTCAGGGTGTAAAGGCACAGGTAAATCTCTGTGCCCTTGGAATCTCGATTATAATGTCACGTATAATAGTGCTTCAGCTTTTCTTTTCCAGTGGTTTAATTTGCCACAGTAGCGGAAGCTCCAAGACATACATATGTTCTTGTGTACTGAGGAGGCAACGAAGGGGCTGTCCACACTACCTCTTTTATAGCTGCACGGCTCTCTGGCTGGTGGGGCTTCCTTACATTCATCTTGCTTAGCTTCCAAAATTCATAGGGATGCCTCTGGCTCCCTGCTCCATCTTAGTATGGAGGCATAAGTCCTTTCTGGGGCCCAAGTCTCCTCCTTAGTTTGTTCTTTCTCCTAGCTTAGGAAGTTAAGTTGTATTTGACAGTTCTCAGAGAAGCCGTTCTGATACAGAAAAAGTATGTAGGGCTTCACATTAGAGGTTATAGTTTTGACATGTAGTTATTTAGCCACTTAAATGCTGGTTACACGGAATAATAAATGAATATGTAGCTTGCAGTGCTGTTGGAGGATGTAAGTGAAGAAAGGCACGTGAAAGTACTCAGCTTCATGTCAAATTATAATTAAAGAGCAGTACCTACTGTTTATTGAGCTTTTACTGTATTATGCAATGTGCTAATAAATAAATTACAGGTATTAATCTGAATCCTCCCAATAACCCTGCAGAGTAGGTCATAGGAACTGTGTTCAACTCATGGGGAAGTTCAGAGAGCCAAGTGATGTGTCCAAGGTCACACAGCTTCTAAGTGCTAACATTGGGATTTGAATCTGATCTGTATGAAAAGCCTATGCATGTAAAACTGATTTCTTTACAATCATTAGAAGTGGTCATTCTATTTGCATTTCTTTGAAGACTGAAAAGACTGATTTTTCCATTTGTTTGTTAACCAGTTGTGTTTTCTGTTTGTAACGTGTCTGGGGATGTCTTTTGCCTACTTACCTGTTGGCATCTTTGCTGATTACCTTATGAATTGGCACAGACTCCTCATGTATTATATACTTATCCCTTTTCCGATTATACTTGAGGCAGCAAATGACATTCATCATCCAAACATACAAAATTTTATACTTGGATATGCTTTTTTTTTTTTTTTTAAGATTTTATTTATTTATTTGACAGAGAGACACAGCGACAGAGGCAACAAAAGCAGGGGGAGTGGGAGAGAGAGAGAAGCAGGCTTCCTGCTGAGCAGGGAGCCCAGTGCGGGGCTAGATCCCAGGACCCTGGGATCATGACCTGAGCCGAAGGCAGACACTTAATGACTGAGCCACCCAGGCACCCCAATACTTGGATATGTTTTAAGATCTCATTTCCACCTGGGTTCCTCAGATTGTTACTTTTCTTTAAGTTTGTTCTGTAAAATGTATTTAAAGACTTTTATTCAGAGATACTCCTATATTCTAGGGATTCTTTTGTGTTAAACAGTGAATGTCGTCTAACCACATGAGAGAATTTCTGTGTTGTATTATGCGCAGCTTAAATAGCCTCAGTTAACTTTCAGATTTCACCTTAGGGGAATAGAGCAGAAGCCCGACACAAAATTGTTTCTTTTTTGCCCCTTAAATCCTGTATACAGCTAAATGTTCTTAATCATGTTGTAGTTTTACATTAATTTTCCACTTGATTACTTTGGGATTGAAAATGAAACATGTTGCTAACAGTCAGCCTGAGTTGATGAAACTTAGAACATAATCACCTTTGATAACAGTACTCTTTGAGGTTGCCCAGCAGATGCCAACAAAGAAGTGATGGTACTACTGAAAATATATTCACTGTTTCTCACTTCACAGCAAAGTTCCTGCGTTCGTCAGGATGATTGCTCCGGAGGGCTCCTTGGTGTTTCATGAGAAAGCCTGGAACGCGTACCCCTACTGTAGAACAAGTAAGCCTGGTTCCTGGCATTCATTCCCCGCCTCTGCCCCACTGCTGAGGAGGAGAGGGACTCCTGGTGCTGATGCCTTTGAGAAGGGTGACACTCACGGAAGTCCTCTGTGGGTTCTTGGGTAGTCACTGCAGGTGCTGTGGCAGAGGAGAGAGTTCTCTGTGTTCCTCCCCCTAGACCTTTGTGAGGGGCATTGGTTCATTCCCAGATGAGAGCACCTTGAGGTCCTTGCTGACCTCACTGGCTCCAGGGGTGAGACCTGAAAGGTCATCCACACTCAGAAGTGTCCTTTGGTGTAGTTTTAATAGTATTTTTCTCATATTGCCACATATAGTAGGGTAGGAATATGGCAGATGTCTGAAACAGTTTCCTGTTGTTTGCTGATTTGGCCTTAAAGTGATATATTGCTTTTGTGACATTATTCTCCCATTGTTTTAAAATTAGATTATTGACTCTATAATCTAAGGTAGACTGTAGTGTCACTTGTATAGAAACTTTTGCAGACATAAACTACTAAATGCTCTGTGTTTTCAGGGAGTTTAATCATCGTGACAGTAAATAATATGACAGATTGTTTTGACTTCGATTAATATTCTGAAATTTTTCCCCTTTTATTGCCCACCTGTCCATTATGCCTCAGTTGTAACGGTGAGTAAAACTATTTTTGTGTCACATACTCTTCATCTTTAAATTTTGCTTTACATAATAATTATTTTCAGTCATTCATTGCTTTTTAAAATAAAACTGCCCACCGCTGCATGGCTCCTCCTCTGTGCTCTTTCCACCAGCCTACACTCCACCACATGTTCACAGTGTTAGTGGGTTTTTTCCAGCCTTGTCTCAAAACCTCCCTGTTGACTTTATTTTGCTTCTGCTACTTCCTTTGAATGCTGTATTTGCTCACCAAACCTCCCAGCTTCTTTAATATTAGCCCTCTATGCTGCATGACAAGTAGGGTTGTTTAAATTATTTAAAAGCATGCAGCATTTGGTTTGCCTGACAAGTTTATAAAAACAGGTAGCTAATGATTCTTTGTCACTTGAGGATCAGTCTTATAGAGTCAAAGCACGGATGCTTATGCTGGGGAAGGCTCCTGCAGACAAAAGCCGCAAAGAACCAGTGAAAGATCACTGTCATTTTGCTGTTGTGTTTTCTGCAGAATGAATATATGAAAGATGATTTCTTCATTAAAATTGAAACATGGCACAAACCAGACTTGGGAACATTAGAAAATGTAAGTTTCAACTCTGGGCTTTCAGTGCAGAAGCCTCTGGAAATGGGAATACTGTTGTAGTCCATTCTGTCATCACCCGAGTGATATCACCTACGGGAGACCGGTACCTGGACACACCAGGGCATGTCCGATTACAGTGAGGCAGGCCAGCAACCAGCAACAAACGGGGCATTCCCTTTCAGCCCCCTTGCCTTGGTGCGAGAGCAGACTGTGGGGAGAGTTGCTGTTTTTATCAGCTCTCTCTCTCTGGGACAGGGAGAGCAGAGATAAAATTCACAAACCGATTTTAGCCATTAACTTTAGATTTCTTTCATCTTTTCATCTCTGTATGTTTGTCAGAGCTACTCTACAAAGCAAAATTGACGGCTTTAATTTTCACCTCCACTCTGCTTTGCTGGGTTGATGTCAGAGAAATGGCCAAAAGGCGAGGAGGAGGAGCAACTGTGAATGTTTTACAAAAATGTTGACAAGCGTCTGATTTTTACAAGTTGGAGCACATTTATCCCTCAAATAAATTTCAAGAAAATCACTTAAGACTCAGTGTAATCATTAACTTTTGATAAGATGTGTTACAGAACTTGGCAAACCATCTGGTATGGATCGATGCCCTTGGCCCAGTGGCTGTCAAAAGTGTGGTCTCTGGACCAGCAGCAGCATCTGGGAACTTGTTAGAAATGCACATTTTCAGCCCTCACCCGATACTTACTGAATTAAAATCCCTGGGGGTGGGGCCCAGTATGCTGTGTGTTGTGGTACACGATCCAGCTCAAGAGCTCCAGTTTGAGAACTGCCGTTCCAGCCTCACCATTACGCTGTTACAGGAGATTAAGTTCATGTTGTGGTATTTTTCGCTTTTATGTGATTGGTGCCAATTAATAGAACTTTTGAATTATAATTGGTAGTATTTGACTTGAGTTTTCTTCCGGGTGATCATTTGACATTTCATGTTGGTTTTTTTTCCCACAGTAATTCTAAAATTTAGAATCTAAATGAGATGATTGGGTGTGCTTTAGTCTGTGTATGAGTTGATCTGCCTTTTCTAGCTTCCAAATGGATAAACTTTGGCATTTGTAAACAGTTCTTAATTGGTTCATAGAGGGAGTTTTAGAAATGATTAGTTAACATGAGGAGTGGAGGAATTGCTGTCCTTTCAAAACTGAAAATTCAGGATAGGTTTTAAACCTCACAGTGTAGCTTCTTGAAATCTAATTTTAATGTCACCTTATGTTTGTCTAGGACTTAAAGGTTACAAGGACTTGGTCGTGTATCATTGGGTTAAACATAGGTTAGGTACATTTTGTTATATAACTCATCTCTAGGGATTACCAGAAAATAATGGTGACAGATTTCTGTTAATTTGGCAGCATTCTCACACCTCCTCCCCTCCCCACACTTATTTTTTTAGGTATACAAGGGTAACAAAAGATTTCTAGATCCTTTAAGACTTCAGACCGCTAATTTAATGAAGTAGCAATTTGGATTTTTTTATTCCTCGTAATGTGGTCTAAAAGACTCAGATAAAGATTATATATGTAATAGTTTGCCTAGTAAGAATAGTCTACAGTTTGCTGTGTTTCATTTCTCTTTGTCATTTATAGGTACACGGTTTAGATCCGAACACATGGAAAACTGTTGAAATTGTCCACATAGATATTGCAGATCGAAGTCAAGTTGAACCAGCAGTAAGTACTGCATACTTCTCAGTGACATTTTAACTTGTTGCCTCTTATATCTAAACACGATCTTTCTCTCTTGTATGGCCTGCATTTCTACACTGCAGTGAGCCTGGAGTTTGGGTGTGGGTCTGTGCAGCAAAAAGACCAGAGAGTAGGAAAGAGGGTTATTTGTTTCCTTCTGTGGATTTCATCTTTTCACAAATGATCCCCTTGAGAAATCCCAATATACCTGAGATATATAGAGGTTTGTTTTCATTGCGGGGGGGGAAAGACTAACAACATTATTTTACAAAAGAATTCTCCTTTGGGCTTCTGTAAATAATGTGGGTCCCTTATACTTTTAAAGTGTGATTAAGAAAGCTTAACAGTTGTGTAGCTTTCTTTTCTTTTCTTTTTTTAATTTTTATTTATTTGAGAGAGAGAATGAGAGAGAGAGAACACGAGAGGGGGTAGGGTCAGAGGGAGAAGCAAACTCCCCGCTGAGCAGGGAGCCTGATGCGGGACTTGATCCCGGAACTCCAGGATCATGCCCTGAGCCCAAGGCAGTCGCTTAACCAACTGAGCCACCCAGGCGCCCCCAGTTGTGTAGCTTTCTAATCTTGATTTTTACTAGATGTAAATATTCATACTCTAGGCTTTTGACTTAATAACCCACGCTCCCCCAGAAGTGAAGACCTGCATTCTCCCAAAGTAAGACCCTTGTATTACTTTGCTGCAGTTTGAAAATATTAACTCAGTTCTTATCTTAGAGTATGCTGGTGCTGCTTGTTTTTGCAGGGCACAGTTGTGGACTTTCTCTATGTTATGACAACCATTGGCCCTCTTTATGCTGGTGTAGAGAGCAAAAGCTTTGGAACAAGAGTTCTTCTGTCATGGTAAAGCCCAGCGTGTTCAGTTAGCATTTTTATTTCATGACCTTTCCATTTCATTTTCAGTGCTTATTGTCTGAACATGAGCAGTGTTATAGGCTGAACAGAAATAACCCAAACAAAATATCTGGTTTTGCTGTTGAAATTTAAAGGTAAACCTTCTAGGGGCACCTGGGTGGCTCACTGGGTTAAGCGTCTGCCTTCAGCTCAGGTCATGATCCCAGGGTCCTGGGATTGAGCCCTGCATTGGGCTCCCTGCTCAGTGGAGAGCCTGCTTCTCCCTCTTCCTCTGCCTGCCGCTCTGCCTACTTCTGCTCTATCTCTCTGTCAAATAAATAAGTAAAATCTTTAAAAAAAAAAAAGGTAAACCTTCTAAAACAAAGGTCCCCCATCTTTTCTCTGAAATCACTGGGTTTGAGACTGCCAGCTTTGACCCTCTGCTAGGCTAGGTCCTGTTCTGCTAGGACCCCGTCCCTGATTAGAAATGTGAACACTAATGAGGGATTCTTGTAGAACTTCTTGAATTTTAGTTGTGCTGTGATTTGCCATTATTTCAATTTTAAGGATAATTCCACCTTTGAAATTATATAGGACTTTTTTTTAATCTTCAGAAGTAAATGTATATTCTGTTTTTAAAAATAATATTCAGATTTCTCTTTTGCCTTTTATTTCTCTGTCTTTTCCAGCCATGTTTACTGCATGTGAAAGAATGATGGTAGGAGGAAAAATCCTTGGGAGTGAGCAGTGAGTGAGTCGGTTAATGGGCTAGGTCAGGGTAGCCTACGTGCTTGGACCAGCAGGTCACAAGATAATGCCTAGTGACAGTATGGATGCCCCAGGGAAGGCATTCAGGTTATATTGTTGGTGTTTGAAAAAGTTGTGCCAGCCAGACAAAACAATCCGATCTTGTGGTTCATGGGTTTGCATTCCAGGTTGTTCTCCCGCAGAATACAAGGCACCTTTGGTTTTGCTGAGGTCATAAGAGTTCTTTGTTCTTGTTCTCAGGCTAAAATGGGAGTTCAGTCAGTGTTTGCAGGCATGAATGCAAGTAGATGGAACAGTTAAGGCCAATTGTGTAAGAGCCCCGGAGGCCCCTGGTCTCATTCTTTCCACCCCAGCCTAGACCAACAAGGAGAGAAGGCGCTGCTGGCCTTGAGGGGTGTGACAACGGCACTTGAGATCAGTGCTCCAGGTGAAGGGCACTGCACATGCAGAGGTCAAGCGGGTACTTCCCTGTTGTGGAACGTTGTCTGGGCTGGATACATGGTTTCGGAAAGAGAAGGGATTGGGCCCGAATGAGAAATGTCTGTATTCTGAGGCCGTGGAGCTGTGACTAAAAACATACATTCTGAAACTAGATTGGATTCAGATTCTGAGGTTCTGCCACCTGCTGGCTATTCAGTCTTGGATGGGTTGCTTCCTCTCTCTGTGCCTGTTTTATCTTGTGTAAAATGGGGCTAATTATCTCACAGCATTAAGTGTGAGCACTTAGAGCTGCGCCCAGTTTACTAAATGTTCGCCATTGTTGGCATCATGACTGGCTACGGTTGTACGGGAGCTTTGAGAACTCTCTTCACACCAAGCATTGTTTGGGGAGTAAATCAGTAGGTATGTGTGGTTTTGTTTTTCAGTGTTCACAGCTCCTTTTTGCCAATTACATTGTTGAGATCAGTAAGATACAAACTTATTTTAAAGTTGACTGAATTCCTAGTACTTTATTTTATTGTGATGAAATACACATAGCATTTGCTATTTTAACCACTTCAAAATGTACAGTTCGGTGGCATTTGGTACAGGTACCTTCACACCATCACCACTGTCCAGTTCAAGAACATTTCATCGCTCCAAAAGGACACCCTGTACCCATTAACAGTCACTCTCTACTTCCCCCTCCCCCCAGCCTTTGGCTACCACTAAGCTGTTTTTGTGGACTTATCTATGCAGGATAATTCATAGAAGTGGAATCATAGCAGTATGTGACTTACAGTGTTGGCTTCTTGTATGTTAGCCCGTTTTCATCCCCACTGTGGTGTGTGTCATTACTTCATTTCTCTTTATGGCTGATAACAGTCCAGTGTATGAATACACCACCCTTTGTGTATGCATCCATCTGGGCAAGGGAGGTTTGGGTTGTTTCTACCTTTTGGCTATTGTAACTAGTGCTGCTGTGAAAAACTGTGTCACAGTAGTTATTTATGTATTTTCTCAGTTGTGAATACTGAAAGTAAACTGATAACATGTATGGATTCTTAGACCTTTGGACATAAAAAAGGAACCTTGACATGCATACTGACTGGTGCAAAAGGGAACTCTGTGTGCTAGGAGGCGAGGGTACCCTGGGCAGTTTTGAAGCCTGGGGATGAGGAACAGAGCATTGAGCTGCCTGAGGATGTGTGAAGGCTGAGGGGGCGTTTGGGGAGTGGGGTGTGGGGCCAGCACCCATTCCGGCAAGGAGGTGGGGAAGAGACATAGTGGGGCAGGGACTCTGGGTCTGCCCTTTTCTTCTGCTAATCCTCTTCTTCCCACACTTTGGGCACAGACATTCACCCGGACACTCTCCCTTTAGGTTCCACCCCATCTATTTTTGGCCTTGAGTAGTTAATGTTTATCCTAGGAATTAACGTCTAATGCAAACACTTGGACCACCTGGCCATCCTTACTTCTTACTAGACCCAATTTGGTTTTCTGTTGCATTAATTTGTTCATTTGATTCTGCTCTTTTTTTTTTTTAAGTTTTTATTTATTTGAAAGATTGAGAGGAAGCACAGGAGCATGGGGAGGGGCAGCCTGAGAGGGAGAGAGAGAGAATCTCAAGCAGACTCCTCAGCTCAGAGCCCGAATGTGGGGCTCAGTTTTATGACCCTGAGATCATGACCTGAGCTGAAATCAAGAGTCGGACACTTAACCAACTGAGCCGCCCAGGCACCCCTTGGTTCTGCTCTTTTAAGTTCTTTAAAAATTTTGGTCCGTGGTGTTGGGAAAAGGAAGTTAAGCACACATTTGTAATTCTCAGATGACAGTGTTTTTCATAGCAGTTAACAGGTATTGAGTGCGGGCTCTGTGCTGCTGGAATAGGCCTGCTGTAGCTATCCAAGATTGGGATAGAACCTTTGAGAGGCTTGCAATCTGGGTGAAACAAGCCCAGCACAGTGAAATAGTGAACAAATGGCAGAGGCTTAATGCATGGTCCAAAGTGCTGCAGGATTTCAGAGGAAAGAAAAAAACGATCTGTGAGGACAAAAATCTGGAAAGACTGAATTGAAGAGTCATAACATGAGGGAGAGTAGGATTTAATGGATGGAACAGCCCACCCCCATCCTCGTTACACTTTTCCCTCTTACCCTCATTTCTTTGACATACTATAAATTTGTTTACTTCTATTTCTCTTCTCCCTGAGTAGAGATTGAACCTCAGAGGGAAGAATCTTTGTATTCTTAACTGTTGTCTCCCCAGCTCCTAGAAGAGTGCCTGAGTTATATATATAGTAGGTACTCAGTGAATGAATGCGCTGTAGGCAAGCAGAGTTGCAGGTGCATTATCCAACACTGAAGGGAAAGCTGGAATCGTTTTTAGAGTTGAAGGGGACCTGAGCTATCCAGGTCTCATTGCTTTTGAACTGTACTTTGCATAATCCTAAGAAGTTCTTGGAGTTTACCAGTTTCTCAGGCTGTCAGGATGGAGCCACTAGAAAGTGGGGCTGAGGAATTCCCTCCGTCCCCCTCTCCCAGCACGGTTCTGTCTGTCTGACATTAGTCTTCACTATAAATTTACTTTGAACACAGTTAGTTCTGCAGCTACAGAAAGTTTGATTTCAGGGCTCACCACCCTGTTTTATACGTGAGGAAACTGAAGCCCAGATAAACTAGTCTCTTTCAAGGTCGTTCAACCAGTGCCAGAAGTGGAAATTCTAACTCTTCAATCCAGTGTTCTTTCTACTGACTCTTGGTTCCTTCGGAGCTAAGGCCCTGCTTTGTTGCTCTTCAAGCTGCCATCTTCCTCTCCTCACTGTTTGTTCTGGCCTGCCTTCTGGGCCTCCCTCTCTGTCCAAGGCCTGTGTGTCCTGTAGGTCAGATTCCATTTCCTCCAAGGAGATTTCGCCCATGTTGGAATCATCTACCCCTCTGCCCTTACTCGTTT